AATTTAAGAACAGGCAAAGCTAATCTGTAAAGACGAAGAACAGACCAGAAGTGTCTAAGGCAAGGCTGGGGGTGGGGAGGAGGGTTGGTTGCAAAAAGGGGCACAAAGAATGTTGATGTGATAGGTGATGGAAATGTGCTGTATCTTGACTATGGTGGTGGTTACATGAGTGAATACACTCAGGTACACACTCACTGAGCTATACACTTAAGATGGGTATATTTTATTGTTTGTAAAATATACCTCAATAGAATTGATTTTAAAAGAAAAAAATCTCAAGAGAAGCGTCATTATAAAGCAATAAAAAAACTGGAAGGAATGTAAATATTGAAGAAAATGGATAAGTCATCATGTATTACTAAATAGAAAACTATATTGCAGCAAAAAATGAATGAACTACATTGAGTGTGCACATCAGTATAGACAAAGCTCACAAATGCAAGATTGAATGAAAAAAGCAGGTTCCAGAAGAATATATACAGTATGACGCTATTTGAAATTTAATCACATGCAAAGCAACTCCCTTCATTGCTCAAAGATCCATATATATGTGATAAATAAGAGTACGGAAATGATAAATACCAAATTCAGGAGTGCGTTATGGAGTAGCGGGCAGGGCAGGGAGGAGTACATAGGGGGCTTCAAACAGGATTGATCAATTTTTTTATTTCTTAAACTAAGTGGATGGTACATGGGTGGGTTTTGTGTCTTAAAGATGTCGCAGAAAAATAAATAAACAGCAAACTAACGAAAACCTAAACCAAAAGGGTGGCCGCCTAGAGTTGAGGAGTGCCTGGCTGGTACCAGGAGATCTGAGTCTCCATCCGGATTTTGTCCCTGCACTTGATGTTCCACTGTGGCAAAGTCACTTCTCTCAGGATGAGGCGTAAAAGCCTCATTCCAGAAGAGAAGGAAAAGAATCCGAGGGGGCCCTTGGGAAAGGAAACCCAGGAAAGCACTTCTGGGGGCAGTAGGGCAATGGGGGAGTCCCAGGACTTCCTGTGGTGCCCACCCATAGCCGAGCCCAGCCAGCCACATGGAGTTCTCAACCTCGAGTTTTGCCTGGGTTCTCATACTCGGTTGGCGCGGTCACCGAGCTACCTGGCCCACCACAGCGAGGGGAATTTCTTTCCAGACCCTCTCTGGGAAGACAGGGTCCTGGAGAAAGGCTGCCAAGGACTAGAGGGCACTGTTTTGAGAACCATGCAGAACGCGCTTCCAGAGAGGGCTTTCCCGCTGCCTAGCTTCGCACTCTATCATCTCGGAGAATCTTAACTATTGCCTTAACGCAGAGAGGGAAAGTAACTGGCCTAAGGTTACACTGCTGGTGACTGGAACTTATTACTAGTAATTCTTGGGCAAGTTATTTAACCTCTCTGGGTTCAGTTTTCCTATAATTAAAGTAGGTGCAAAATTGTGTGTGTGTGTGTGTGTGGATCTGGAACACTCCATTCCAAAGTATTAATAGATATATCTGTGTGGAGAGATTGTGAGTGAATTTTATTTTTTCTTTTGGTTTATCTGTATTTTCTAATTTGTTGTTTTATATTGACTATGTATTATTTAGTTATTATTTTTTTTTTAATAGAGAGAGTTATACTGCACAGAGTTGTTGTGAGCATTAAATGAGATCATGAAAAGTGCAGCACAATTTCTACTTCACTGTGTTCTCCATAAATGTGAGTTCTCCCTGCTCGCCCTTCTCCTATACTTTCCTTCTCTGCTGGTGTTAGAGACTGGTGCCCCCAGACCTCATTTGGGGAGGAAGAAGGGGGTGGTACAGGACCCTGACTGGCCATGTGGCTTTGGATAAATTACTTAACCTCCCCCAAATCTCAGTTACCTTGTTTGCAAATGGGAAGAATAACCACCCACCTCAAAGGAAGTTTTCAAGGACTGTATGGCATAGAAGATGGGAAACTGCCTGGCACACAATAGGTCTGCAATAGGTATCTGCAAGAAGAAATAAGATACTTACGATGAGGGAGCAAGCATTGGAGTAAGAGCTAGACCAGAAGAGGTAGAAGATTTTAGAACATGTTCCATAGAGTCCAAGAGGTCCATGGACAGAGTTCAGGGGGAGAGGTCCATGAACTTGGATGGAAAAAAATCACATCCTTGATTTCACTAACTTCTAAATGAAATTTAGTATTTCCCTCTATAATGCATGTAAGCAACAAATCACAATATTTAGTATTAGCAGTACTTGTGACTGTCATCAATAGGAATAAATCATAGATATTTTCATATTGCATTACAAGTAGTGATATCTTTAATACAGTTTACACTCATTCGCCACTTCAAAATTACAATAAGTGACAGACCAATTTCTGGATCTTGTTATTTAATATGTTTAAAATGAACTAAATCACTAAATAAATATTTTGATAATGATTCTGTATAACTGGTATCCTTTGTAATCCTAAGTAATTTACTTTTTGTAGTTAAAAATATTCTTCTGAATAGGGGTCTATAGTCTTCCTCAGACTGCCAAAGGGGATCCTTGGCTATACAGACATAGGTGTTAAGTCCTGCCTGGGCCACTCACTACTGTGAGACATTGGGCTTCTTATTTCTCTCAGGGGCACAATCATCCTTGCTTGGCTCACCCCACAGAGTTGTTGGGAGGAACAAATTAATTCTTGGCTAGAGAAGAACTTTGGAAACTGTTGGCGGCTTCTCAATTTTGCCAAAAGCCAGAGCACTTCCTACCTCCCGGCTGAAACCCATGTCTCCAGGAGCCCTCTCTGCTTTCCACAGGATTCCACCCCTCCCCTTCACTCTCCATCTGATAGAAAGGCCAAAGTGCACCTCCATCAGAGTACGCCATCCAGCTCCCAATATGCAGAGATCCCCAGCTCAGGGGAGAGATTTTCTGGGGGATGATACAATTCCTTCCAGTTTTCATATTTGACCTTATAGTGACCTTTGAGGACACTACCCCCTCAAAACGCTTTCCTGCTCCCTCAGATGGTGACCCCTCTGTGGTCACAGTCCCTTCATTTCCCCTTTCATTGCCCTGTCTTTTGAAGTTTATCTGACTCCCTCACCATACTGTGTTTTTCTCAAGGGCAGACCCAGACGTCATCCCTCTCAGGGGCTCCAGCACCCACGTCATAGGCATGGCATATATTGGCATCTTAGGAGCTGGCCTAGATGAAGAGAAGGAACCTGAAGCATAGAGAGAAAAAGCAGGAAGGGGTAAAGCTAGATGCCCATGATCTATCCCACATACACCTAAAGCAAGGGATAGAGGGATTGTGGAGTCCCAAGTCATCACTTACTCCCTATTCTACCCACTGCTGTGAAAAAATGAGGAGAGCTAAAGATTTTGTAATCTCAAGATAGCCCCTGCCTATCTGTACAATGGGAGGTGTCAGATTCAGTGGCTTTCAAATGCTTTGACCTGACTCAAAGTTAGAAATGTATTTTACATTGTGATCTGGTCCATAACACATATAAATATAACTGAAACATTTTATGAAAGAATACTTAGCTTTACTATCTGCACTGTACTTTTCCTATTCCATTTAATAATAGTTATTATTTTTTTTAATGCTAGCTGTGACTCAGTAACTGATTACAAGATCCACTGGTCCTTATCAGCCCCAGTACCCTCTGATTGTCAGAATAAGAATTATTCACATAATGAATGGGACAACTAATGCTCAAGAGTCCCTAGTCTTGGCTCAGTGTGATTGAGCCAAACTGTGTACCTTTCAGAGCCTCAGGTTCCCCAAAGTCCCCTGAGAAGGCAGACAGGCAATCTTTATGGGCCTCATATAACTTCTTCAAACTGTGGTCCTCTGATCCTAGTGGGAACACTGCCCCTGTGATCTGGAAATAATTTCTGAGAATGGAGTGGTGTGCTGGCTTTGCTTCCTGGTGAATGGGGACATTCACAAGCACCCTTGACCTAGGCCGCTGTGGACAGGATGTGAACAAGGGAGTGTGAACATGTCAGTGCATGAGCTAGCTGCTCAGGGAAGGAAGAGACAGGCAACGATGCCAGAGGATGATATTTAAAAGTCAACTGGAAAAGAGGTGCTGTGAGAGCCCCAGAAAGAACAAGGCCTTGGGAACCATACAGACCCAGGTTCAAATCCCATGGGCCTGAAGGCAGGGGAAAATGACTTCTCTCTGACTCGTAGCTCTCATTTATTAAATGGGTTTGAAAATACCTGGTCCTCTGCGTTGTTGTGAAGGTTAAGTGAGGTAGAGTGTTAGTCATCCCATACTGACCCTACTCTGTGGTCGCTGGTGGGTCGCTTGTCTGCGCCCTGCGCTACTCTGGAACTGCGCTGTGATTCCCAGCGTCCGGCACAGTGCTTCCGACCAGGGAGGTGCTCAGAGCAAGTGTGGAATCCATGCTTCGATTCCCGCCCTGCCATCCTGGACATGCCTCTCTGAGCACCCAGCACCCTCATGCATAAAATGAGAACACAGTGGGGGGTCGGTGGGGTAAGCGCGGGCAAGGACCAGCGCCTAGGCGACTCCCGGGGGCACCTCCCTCCTCTCGGCCCCGCGGGTCGCCCCCCGCCCCGCGCCCGCTATCCGGCTCCCGCGCCCGCCCCCTTCCCGCTGCTCTCCACTCCCACCGCTCCTCAGCTCTCCTCCCCACCCTCTCCCTCCTCCGGACGCGCCCAGTCCGCGTACCTGGTCGTCTCTCTCGGTCCTCGGGGACTCTAGGTCGCTAACCGCTGCGTCTCCGCGCTTCTCGCCTTGTCTTTTTCTGTTCTTTGTGTGTCTCTCTGTCTCTCTGCTTATCTCTGCCTGTCTATCTCTCTGTGTCTTACTAGGGCTCAGTTCTGCCTCTGTTGTCCCTCGCTCGCCCGGCCGCGGGTGCTCCCCTCTCGCCGGCCGTCTGGTGGCCCGAAGTGGCGGCGGGCCCGGCGCCGGGCGCGA